GGGGGCACCCAGGCCAGAGGGACAGAACTAAGCGAGGCGAGAAGTATAGCGGGGAGCCGTTTGGGATCGCACCTGCCTGGAGAGAGGGCTTTGGGTGAGTTTGGCGGGGACTCCAAAAACTGAAAGAGGGTCACGAGATAGTGAGGGAAGTTAAGGAGAGTGAATCAGAAGCAGAAAAGAGAAAATAGGGGAGGAAAAAGCTTGATTGTGGGAGAACGTTGGAAAGGGGTAAGGTAGAGAGGTGCCCTTAATGTGGCGTACTGATGGGACCTCTGTAAGGAGAAGTCTGCGGAAGTTTTCTGAGGGGTTTTGCGGTCTGCTGGGGTCCAGGATTCGCCGCTTTCCTTTCGGAAAAACGGTCTGAGAGCTCTAGGGGACGAGGGCCTGAAGGAACAGGGCTCTGCGGGGATCACCTGTCTAAGGAGTTGGGGCCCTGCCAGCAGAGCAGACCCTGAAAGGACCAGCCTCTGCAAGGGGTGAGGGGGCAGGGTGTGAGGGGAAGGGGCTCCGTTGAGGCACTAGGGCCTGAGCGGACAGATTCCGTAGTGGACCAGGGGCTGAGGGTGGGCTAGGACTCAGTCACTAAGAGGGCGGGCGTGACAGGAGATTTGGTGGAAGAGCAAAAAGTTTCACACACCCGGCTTGCGGACCTCAGTGGCTGAGCGTCAACCCGTGAACCAGGAGCTCGGGTGGAGTCCCGGTGGGGACAAATGCCGGGGCTGTGGGCTCCATCCCCAGTAGGGGGCGTGCAGGGGGCAACCGATCAGTGACTCTCATCATTGATGTTTCTCTCTCTCCCTCTCCCTTCCTCTCTCTTAAATCAATAAAAACAGATTTTTTTAAAAAAAAGTTTGATAGAAGACAGGGTTCCACTTCGTTGGGGGGCAGTAGTGAGCATTCTCCCACAAAGAATCTCAGCCATCAATAATGCAAAAATGGAATGTACAGCTTGAGATGCAATGTGCCTCATGGTTAGGAGCCCGAGCTTTAGATTCAGCCAGACTTTAATCCTAACAGGTCCACCTCATAACATTGGGGAAAATTCATCATTTCTTTGAACCCCTGTAAAGTGGGGGTGATAATAGTACCTACACCATAGGGACTAGGTAATTCACAGTAAATTGATTAGCACAATGCGCTGGCACATTGTAAATACTTTTTTAAAAAGCAGTTCTTAAAATTTATGATTTATACAGTTTACTACTTTGAGCCAAAATTTTCAGTGTGCATTTAAAACTTACATCGTACCTACTTCCTAAAAAGAACTTGAAGCAAGGTACAATATAAGCATGTAATATAGGACAATTAATGATAAAGGAAGATAAAGAAACTTATAGGCAAATAATTATATTGGGAACAGAAAAAAATGCTTACCACAATTAAACGTTGAGTTTTGTTCTGCATTTCTAGGTAAGGGGGGGCATAATGGTCTATATCATTCTGGTTATCTAAAGAAAACAAATATACTCATTTATCAAGAGAGAGAAAAATTCTGTTGTAAGAGGAATTATCAAGAATACTGATTCCTAATATTTGAACCCTTTCTAAAGGAAAAAAAAATATTTTTTTGAAACATAACAAATACTTTTGAAAATTCCAGTATAAGAAATACCGATACAGTGTATAAGAAATTAAAGTCTATGCAACAATATAAATGTACTTCATGCCATTGAATTATATACTTAAAAATAGTTAAAATGGTAGTTTTATGTTATGTATATTTTACCACAATAAAAAAGATTTTTAAAAAAGTAAAGTCTTACTTTAGGAAAACGTCTATAGTTGTGAATTATCATTGCAAAAGAGACACTTTAATGTGTGGTAAAATATTGTTTTTAAGCAACACTGAAATTAAACACAAAACTAAACTAAAACATATTGGTAGAACTGTCAAACTCCCAAGTATATATCTCTAGACCTGGGAACCTGAAGACCCCAGTTTAAAAAAAGCTGACCCAGAACACATTTTTAACAACAATTTTGCAGCAAGATACAAAAAACCTTCATAATATTGTTACTTAATTGACCTTATATAAAAGATAGGTACACAATATTAAATCATATCTTTGTGAAGGAATTTTGGTGGGAAGAGCTTTCAAATCAAAGGAAAGATTTCATTATATCATTATATGAACCTTACCCTGTAGCCCCTTTCTATTTCTCTGTTTTCAGCTTCAACACCTCACCTCCTGCTTAATGGGGTTTTAGAATAACATTCTTTAAAAAATATGTGAAGCTTTATACTATAGTTTTGTTTTCTCAGTGCTCACACTATTATTCAAAGGGACCTGATAAAAACAGAGTTTCTGTCTTTGTTAATCTTTCCTTGGGCATCAAAAAGTTATATCCATCCACCAAAAGGTAAAAGATGTTTTACTACAAAGCAAGGTTTAGATCATACCTTCACTAAATCTTTTCTTGAAAAGAAATTAAATGACATGAACCCATAACACCATCTCTTCTAGCATGGAAGAAATGAAACAACTTCTATCATGAATAGTATGATCTTGTATTTAGAAAATTCTAAGGAATCCACCAAAAAACTATTAGAACTAATAAACAAGTTAGCAAGTTTGCATGATATAAGATAAATACTCAAAAATCAAGTGTATTTCTATACACTAGCAATAAACAATCCAAAATGAAATACAATAGCATCAAAAAGAATAAAATACTTAGGAATAAATTTTTTTAAAATACAAGACTTGAAAATTTAAAAATATTGTTAAGGGAAATTAAAGAAGTCTTAATGGAAAGACATCCCATATTCATGGTTTGGACAACTTACCTTTGGAAAAAAATGGCAATATTTCTGAAATTGACCTACAGATTAAAAAATTGCAGTTGGATTTTTGTAGAAATTAACAAGTTGATCCTAATATTAATATGGAAATTCAAGGGACCCAGAATATCCCAAACAGTGTTTTTAAAAAATGAACAAAGTTGAAGGTCTCACGTTTCCTGGTTTCAAAAGTACTGCAAAGCTATAGTAATCAAGATTGTGTAGTACTGTCACAGGATAGCTGCTCGGGACTGAATTTCTCCCCAAAGTTCGTAAGTTAAAGCCCTAAACCCAATGTGTCTATATTTGGATACAGGGCCTTTGAGGAGAAATGGAGGTAATTAAGGTTAGGTGAGGCCATGAGACCCTAATTCTATAGGACTGGTATCCTTATAAGAAAAGGAAAAGACACCAGGAGTACTCTGCCACAGTACTTATGCACACAGAAAAGGTCACAAGAGGACAAAGCTAAAAGGAATCCATGTGCAAGCCAGAAAGAGAGTTCTCACCAGAACCAACCCTACTGGTACTTTGATCTTAGACTTCCAGCCTCCAGACTGTGAGAAAATAAATTTCTGTTGTTTAAGCCACCCAGTCTTTGGTATTTTGTTAAAGAAGTTCTAGCAGATTAACACAGAAGTCTTTCTCAACATTCGTAACAATTCATTATATTTTCCTTTTACCACTTTTCAAAAATTAGCTTGTATTTAAAAAGTTACCTTTTAAAAATTACATTTTAGTTATTTGCATAAGTCTTCTGTAGTGTAATATTAGCTCTTCAAGACAGGAATTGTGTCCTATAAATTTGTTTCTTCCTCCCATAGCACCTAAAACAGTGTGTTTATTTCCTTTGTTATACAATACATTTTAAAAATATATATTTTTAATTGATTTCAGAGAGAGGAAGAGAGAGAGAAATATCAAAGATGAGAGAGTCATCAACCTGCTGCCTCCTGCACGCCCCCCCACGGGGGATTGAGCCTGAAATCCGGCATGAGCCCGGACCAGGAATCGAACTGGGATCTCCTGGATCATAGGTGGATGCTCAATCGCTGAGCCACGCCTGCCAGGCCTATATAATACATTTTTAAATGAATATTTAGAAGTTGAGCTACAAAAATAGAAAAGCAGTTATTAATGTTAGGCAGAAGTATCACTTTGTTATTATCTTTAGAGATTAAATATGGTTTAAGGAAATGTATATTGGTGTCAAATTGACAAGGAGTGAACTGTGATGGCTAGTTTTATGTGTCAACTTGGCTGAGGTATAGTACCCAGTTATTCAAACCCTAATCTGGGTGTTGCTGTGAAGTTGTTCTGTAGATGTAGTTAACATCTACAATCAGTTGACTTTTAAATAAAGGTTATCCTTGATATTCTTGGTAGGCCTTATCCAATCAGTTAAGGCCTTAAAAGCAAAATTGAGGTTTCCTTGAGGAAGAAAAAAATAACATTACTGCAATGACAACTTCTGCCCAACAGTTAGCAGCCTTCCAGCCTGCGCAACACATTTTGACTGGTCAACTCACACAACTACATGAACCACTTCCTTGAAATAAACCTCTTAGTATATTATAATCTGCTGATTCTTTTTCTCTGAAGAACCTTGACTGATACAGCACCTTTTAGTTATTGTACTTATCAATACAAGAATTTCCATTTCATTATTTTCTGAAATACCTGCCTATTGAGATTCTGTATTCATTGAGTCATTGTCATAATGATTTTGTTTAATTCTTTTTTTTTTTTTTAAATATATCTTTATTGACTTCAGAGAGAGGAAGGGAGAGGGAGACAGAGAGAGATAGAAACATCAATGATGAGAGAGTCATTGATCGGCTGCAGCCCGCAATCCAGGCATGTGCCCTGACCGGGAATCAAACCCCGATCTCCTGGATCCTAGGTTGATGCTCAACCGCTGAGCCACATCCAGCCGGGCTGTTTAATTCTTTATACATGGTTTCCTCTACTTCTTTGACTATATAGAGTATCCAAAAAAAATGTATACACACAAAGGCAGTGTTTATTGAAATACATTTCATTTTCAAAATGTAATACAAATCAGCTGTTAAAGTGTGTATACATTTTGTGGGGACCCTGTATTTATAATAGCTTCTTTGAAGTCTTTGCTAAATCAAACACATGGGAAGATTCCCATAGTTTCAATTGATGAGTATGAGTCAAGTTTTTTGTTTTCTTGCATGCCCCCTAATTTTTTGTTGAAAACGGGACAATTTAGATAATATATTGTAGGAAGTCTGGGTTCTGATCCCCACCCCCCAATGTTGTTCTTAGTTTTTTTGTTTGTGGTTTAGTCACTTGCCTAGACTAAATCTATAAATTCTGTCACCTATACAATATGTGACCACTGGAATCTTTGTTTAGTTTTTTTTCTTGTTTTTCTTTTTAAGCTTGAACTTCTAGGGCTCTTTGTGTCTATATTATGGCTTAGCGTTCAACCAAAGATTAATTAAATGTTGTGTCCAGACACCTCAAAACCATGAGATGTGCACTCTCTACTGATGGATCAGAGTGTATACGGGGGAGTACATTCAATATTTAGGCTTTTTCATATCTTCCCTGGCTTCCTCTTGAGCCTTTTCACTTCTTCATTTTGCATGTGCTCTAGGCTCCATTGGCTCAGAATGTTGGCATGACTTGGGCCTACTCCTGTCTTTGATGCAGATGCTCACAGCCTTTTGTCCACTCTGGATATGTGGAGGGCTTATCAAGCCCTCTATGGTTGTGTCCCCTCTGAGAAATTCCTATTAAATCCTTCCCTACTCTCACAATCCATTGCTTGCCCCAAACAGGCCCACAATATTAAGGAACCAGAGCTACCTGTCATCCATATTCACTTGCACTAAGATCACTGTTTTAGATCAAGTGAGTCTCCTCTGACTGTAGCAGCAAGACTGTTGTTTTTCATGTTCTGCTCCAACAAAGTTGAACCTCTGTGCCGACAGAATCAATGTGGGGGCATGTGAGTGGTCCCAGGCAAGAACAACAGATATCTTACTGTTCTTATCTGAAATTCAGTGGTTGTCATAAATAAACACTTCTCAGTTTACACACATGCATTTAATATTATTTCTAGAGTGCCAAGTGGATATTTTTGATAGTTTTGTCCAGCTTTATATTTGCTTTTGAGAAAAGGGTTGTCAACCTCCTCACTCCATAATGTGAAGTAAATCTCCACCTTTTAATTTTATCTCCAAAAAAATATCCTGAGAATTCCTTCCATGGTCCAAGAAGTAATAATTATACTATCTAGTTTCCAAGGCTGGATGTTTCAGGGTCCCAAGAATAACAATTTACTTTTTAGACCTCTAAAGAATAAGTGACAACCACATAAATGAGAAAGATGCTTCTTAACCCATAGAGCACCAGGGCTAACTATATTTTGTATTTGTATATAGTGTTATATATATAATAAGAAATTTAATTGTTTTAAAAAACCCAAATGCTGGCATTGTTCAGAAAAATTTAAGTTTTATTTATAATTATTTTAAAGTTGAACTGCTAAAACTTGTTAACTGAAACATTTTGACTTGCATTAATGCTTTATGTCCCCACATTTGTATTTTTAAAAATTCACACACAAATAAAAATGGAAAGACTGCCAATACCTGTTTTCTGTCCCCTATTTTCCACTTGCAGTCATATACTTAGGTATCTTTGGACCCCATGGGGAAAAAATATCTAATGTTCAGAACTACCAATAACAGGAAGAAGAAATTTTTTTAAAGAATGAAATGTTTCCCATCATAGTGGACTCTTAAGCACGTTCTACGCATACAGTGTCCTAACTGGATGTCTTTCAGCATAATTGTTAACCGTTTGGCATGAGTAACACACAGGTTGGTGTCTTCAAAAAGGCCAACCACATAGGCTTCACTTGCCTCCTGCAAAGCACCAATAGCTGCACTCTGGAAGCGCTGATCTGTTTTGAAGTCCTGAGAAATTTCTTGCAGCGGACACTGGAAGGGAAGTTTGAGAATCAGAAGTTCAGTGGACTTCTGATAACGTCTAATTTCATGGAGTGCCACGGTACCAGGCCTGTAACGGTGAGGTTTCTTCACCCCTCCAGTAAAGGGTGAACTCTTGTGAGTGGCTTTGGTAGCCAGTAGCTTCCTCGGTTCTTTACCACTGGTCAATTTGGGGGCAGTCTGCTTTGTACAAGCCATGGTATAGAGCAGCGATTTTCAACCTTTTTCATCTCATGCCACACATAAACTAATTACTAAAATTCTGCGGCACACCAAAAAGTATGTTATGTTTTTTGCCTATCTGACAAAAAACATAGGTATAATTTTGGCTCATTCACACCGGACGGCTATGGTTGTGTTGGTGGTTGTCATTTTTTTTATTTGACAATCTAAGGGAAAAGAGGTCAGTGCCCCTAAGTAAATAGTCAGGTATTGCATGTTTAAAAAATTCTTGCGGCACAGCAGTTGAAAATCGCTGATATAGAGACCTCCTTACTTACCTCCCTTCTCCTTTGGCTAGAGCTCTGTGAGCTAGAGGCAGGGCTGGCATTAGAGAGCAATGGCCTATAGTATTATATTTTTAAATATATTTTTATATAGTGTACCTTCTGTATTTTGGAGCTATTTCAATCTTACTTGATAACTGATTTGGTACTTTTTTTAAATTTCAGATTTCAATTAAGTTCCTTATGTCTTCCCCTGAAATTGCTTCCCTTTCATGGGGGCAAATGAAAGTACAAGGCTCTACTAAAACCTATAAAGACTGCAAAGTGTGGCCTGGGGGAAGTCGGGCTTGGGATTGGAGAGAAACAGGAACTGAGGTAAGCTATTAGTGTTTGGTTGACACTGTATAAAGCTGACCAAGTGATTTTCAACCTCCTAAGCTATAATGACCAAGTGAAAAGTAATGCAGTCTCTCTCCCTTTTTTTCCCTGCCTCCTTCCCTCTCCTTGAGATATAATTCAAATGGAGTTTTTATTGTCATAAACTTGTGCAATAGTTACCACTACTAATTCCAGAATATACTATCACCCCAAAAGGAAACCCCATAACCCTTTGCAGTCGCTGCTTATTCTTCCCCTCCCCCAACTCATGGCAACTATCTACTTTCTGTTGCTGTAGCTTGTCTATTCTAGACATTCTACATAAACAGAATTATTCAATTCTCTTAGGTATATACCTAGGATTGAAAATGCTGGGTAACTCTATATTTGACCTTTTCAGGAACTGTCAGACTGTTTTCCAAAGCAGCTGCACCATTTTACATTTTTAGATTTTAGGAATGTATGATGTTTTCAATTTTTCTAAATCTCTTCACCCTAACACTATTGTTTGTTTTGTTTTGTTATACCCTTCTAGTGGATGTGAGATGTTATCTCATTGTGGTTTGAATTTGCATTTCCCTTGTATTGCACTTCCTCCAATATTATCAGTGTGTAATGCCCAAGGTAGAATATCTGTTCCATGCGTGGAGGTTGGGTGAAACAACAGACCCCCTACCTGTCAACCACACAATGGAGTCCTGTTTCTCCCTGGAAGGAATCTTTCCAGCTGGGAGATGAGAGGAGAAACAGCCCTATGTTCTTGGCTGTAACAGTCTGGAGTGGAGTCTCTACCTCATTGATCTGGGAGTGGGGAGACATGCAGCAGTCTTTCTTTAAACACCACAATTTCTCACCTTTCCTACCAAATATTTATAGATATCCTTTAATAGATGTTTCTTAATTTGCTGTTCGCTCTTAGGATCATTTCCAAAGGCTTTGAAAGATTTTTTTCCCCCTATTTGTTGGTGGTGGCAGTTGTGGTGGTGGTTGTAGTGGTTGTGGTTGGTTGGTTGGTAGGTTTTTGTTGTTTCTTTTAATAATTTTCACTTAAAAGCAGGTTATGGAGCTCTTCATCCTGTAATGATGGAGGTTGATCCTTCCATTTTGAAGGGTAGTTTTGCTTTGCTGGATATAGAACTCCTTATATACAGTCTTTTTCTTTCAGCACCTTGAATGTGCCATCCTACTGTTTTTTGGCCTCATTGGCTACTAGTTAGAAATAAACTGTCATTCTTATAAAGGTTCCTTGGACTTGACAAATTGCTTCTCTCTTGCAGCTTTCAAAATTCTCTGTCTTTTACTTTGGACAATTTGACTGTGATATGTCTAAGTGTGGCTCTCTTAGAGTTTATCTTACTTGTAATATATTGAGCTTTGCAGATGTGTACATTGTTGTTTTGTCATTAAATTTGGGAAGTTTCCAGCCAATATTTTTTTCTGCCCCATCTCTCTCCTCTCTTCTGGTTCCCATTATGAGTATAAGGATATGTCTAATGGTGTTCCACAGGTCTCTGAGTTCATTGTCTTTGTTCTTTTTTTTCTCCTTTTTCTTAGATTTGATCATTTCAATTGACTTATTTTTCAGATTTGTTGTTTCTTGTTTGCTGTTGAGCTCCTTTAGTGAAATTTTTATTTTAGTTATTGTACTTTTCAACTCCAGCACTTCTAGTTGGTCCATCTCTTTATTGATATTCTCTATTTGGTGAGATGCTGTTCTCATACTTTCCTTTAGTTCTGTGGGTATGGTTTTTGAAACAATAATTGGACAGAGGCTTTCTTACATTCCTAGAATCAATAGGTTCCTCCCCCCCTTTTTTTTTTGCAATTTCGGTACACAGTCAACACTCAGCCAGACAGTTTAAAACTCTGCTGTTTCTTGCTTATGCAGAGTCTCAAAGTTAGCCAGGGTTGTGATCTTAAGGCCTTCTTATATCATTCCTGAGCATGTGCACAACCCTGGACATACAATGGCTTTTTCAATACCAAGATTCATATCAGATCTTTTCAAAGCCCCTATGGACATCTCATTTCCCAGTTTTTCCTTTCAAATTTTTGTTTAACCTCTTGTTTCCCCTGTTATCTACTGCTTCAGGCAGCTGCATTGTTAAACAATTTCCTCTGACTGTTTTTCACAAACTTTTCTGGGGGGAAAAGGCAAACTTTGCAATGGCAAACTCCAAGTCAGATAAAATAAACACAGCCTATGAGCGGGGTCTTCCAGGGAACCAACAAACAGGTTAAATAAAGACAGTTCTCTGAGAATGAGTATTTGAAGGAGCTTTAATCCATTATTCTGTCATTGTGTGACTGGTAGTCTGGTGCTTTTCACTGTGATTGCAGGTTGTTGCTTTTCAAGACTACCACAGAATTGGGAATGGGGTAGATTGGAATAGGGCAAGTTAGAACTGCACAAAACCCACTTTTCAGCCATTTTTCTTTAATAAACACACCCTGAATTGCTGGAAAACTTTGTTAATTTACAAGGTCTTCATTTATCGTAATTTTTATTGATGTTCTGTGTTGACAATAGTTTTTCCAGCACTCTATCAGTGGGAATATTCAGTGGTCAGACTTTGTCTTTCTTGACATTTGTCTTGACAAAGATTAATTTTGCTTATTCTTGGCATTCTATGTTACTCTCAATTTGGGACTAGAAGTTAATTTCTTGACTGGGGGCTTCCCAGACCAGGCTGATAGTGTACATTTGAACCCCAAACTGATGTTCAGGCAGGTTTGTGATTATAAATTCTCAGGGGCGCCCGGCCGGGCGTGGCTCAGCGGTTGAGCGTCGACCTAGGATCCAGGCGATCAGGGTTCAATTCCCGGTCAGGGCACATGCCCGAGTTGCGGGCTCGATCAATGACTCTCTCGTCGTTGATGTTTCTATCTCTCTCTCTCCCTCTCCTTTCCTCTCTCTGAAATCAATAAAGATATATTTTTAAAAAATAAAATTAAAAAAAAAATTCTCAGGGGCCATTCTCCCCCCAACTAGAGCCCAGGATGAGGCAGACAGGTTTCCTTGTCTTTTCCGTTTTTTCAGTGGGTTGATATTTTTGGTCAGTCCTTTCACTGATGGGTTTGAGAAGGGTACTTTGCATAATTGGGAAGGGTGTCTACTGTTCCAGTGTCCCACCTTGCACAAGTCTTATTTCCTAGTCTCAGACTGTCTCATAAAAAGCTATGAGAATGGCAGATGCTTCCAGTGTTCCTTCAGTATCATTCACCATTCTAATTTTAAGCTCTCTCTTCATTTTTGGCCTCTGGGAATTTCTCTTTCCTTTTTGCAGGCCCAGCTATGCATTTCAAGGGATGTTCATTTTTATCCAACATTTGTAGGCATTTTTTTCCAGGAAACTTCTCAGGTTTTATAATCTATCACATTGGTCTGCATAGTAAACAGTCATACCTACATAATCAGGCCCACATAAAAAGAGAACCCCCAAACACACTCTCTGTTCATGCCTTAGTTTTGAACTGCATGCGCTCATTGTTTTGACCCAGACACCTAGTTGCTTGTTAGCTAACCACCTGGATCTTAAGGGAAGGAATACTACAACGGATTGGAAAAAGGAATGTTAGGGCATTGAGATACAGAAGGAACAGAATGAGAGAAAACTAAAGAATAAGAAGCCAGCCCTAGCCAGGTGGCTCAATTGGCTGGAGCATCATCCCATACACCAAAAAGTTGTAGCAGTTTCAATTCCAGTCAGGGCACATAACCAGGTTGCAGGCTCAATCTCAGGTCAGGGTGCATATGGGAAGCAACCAATCAATGTTTCTCTCTCTCCCTTCCTCTCTTTCTCAAAATTAAAAAGAAAAAACAAAAAACAAGTCATAATACTTGTGAACCAAATGAACCCCATTGGATTATTTCACAGGTTGATCTCATTGGATTATTCCAAGAGTATGGTTGACAAAGTATCTGCAAAGCTGAGTTTACATTTTATTCAGTGGACAAGGCATAGCCGCTTTATTTATATAGGAGATTGATATGTCTGACAAAGATTATCCAGACTAAGATATAGTGAAGTACCAACTTATAAATGTGCCATAATGGAGTAATTTTTCCCCTCAAAAATGGATTTAACACTGTATATTGTATTTTTCCTATATAAGGCTGGATTATTAATATTACTATTAACTTTGTTTTTTATTTAAGCACAGAGAGGTGTATATAACTTGGACAGATACAGAGTTAGAAAAATGTGATATCAAATACTAAACCCAGATCAGGTTCCACCTTTTTTCCTCATTCCTTTATACAACATCACAATCCCCCCTTATAAATTTTAAGATTAAAACTTACAGAACTGGCCCTGACCTGGTATCTCAGTTGATTAGAGCATTGTCCCTATATGCCAAGGTTGTGGGTTT